GTGGTTCCTCCTATTGGTTCTAATTCCTCTTTATAACATGACCAATGAGAAAATATGTTTAATAGGAATGTATTTGTAAAGCCTATATACAATTGCATGCCATCTTGGGGAGGGAGGTGGGGAGAAGGAAAAAATTTAAAACTCAAAAGCTTATGGAAGTGAATGTTGAAAACTAAAAATAAATCAATTAATTAAAAAAAAAGAAAAAAGAAATTGAAGGGTCAAAAAAAGAGAGAGAAAGAGAGAGAGGGCCAAGTAGAAATAGAAAGAATTCACTGGAAAAAAAAAAGAAAGAAAGAATTCCCTGGTCACTTTCTGAAAGAAACCTCCAAATGAAAACTCTCAGGAATATTATAGCCAAAATACAGAGTACCCAGGTTTAGGGGAAAAAATACTGCAAGCAATCAGAAAGAAAAAATTCAAGTACTGAGGAACTGCAATCAGGATTACATAAGATTTATTGGCCACTACTTCAATTAGCAGAGAGCTTGGGGTATGATATTCCAGAAAACAAAGGGTATAGGCTTACAATCAAGAATAACTTATTCAGCGAAACTAAGGAAAAATGGACCTTTAACAAAACAGAGAACTTCCAAGCATTCCTAATGAAAAGATGAGAGCTAAAAGACCAGTAGAAAATGTGATATACAAAGAGAAGAATGAAAAGAAATATGAAAAAGGTAAACATGAGTGATCAATCATAAAGAACTAAACCAGATTAAAGTGCTTACTTTTTTATATAAGAAGATGGTATATGTAATACCTCAGAATCTATCATCATCAGGGTTCACAAAGAGATTCTAATTAGGCAGAAGGCCAGGGAGGGATTCTGTTATGTTCTGATGATGTCAAAAGAAGAATAAAAAAGGTGGAAGACAAATAATTAGGACAAAACAAGAAAATTTCTTGAAAAGGTGCTGTGAAAGAGACAAAATTACTTAAAAAAAATGTTATAGGAAAGGAGGGGAGGAATAATTTTGAAATATTTGTTTAGTGTATAGGGAAACAGAAAGGACAAAAGTAGGGGAGAAATAGATAACTGAATAAATGAAAGAAAGAAATCAACAATTTAAACAAATTAAAAGAACTTAGGATAAGGTGGGCAAATGAGAGGAGAGGAAAGGAGGAAAGCCTGTGGGAATAGACTAGCCCTAAAGTAATGTAAGCAAAACTAATCATAGTAGGGGGTGGGGGGCAGAGCCAAGATGGTGGAGTAAAAGCAGTGACTTGCTTGACCAAATACCTGTAAAAATTGGCTCTAAACAAATTCTAGCGCAGCAGAACCCACAAAAAGACAGAGTGAAACAAATTTCCAGCCCAAGACAATGTGGATGGTTGATGGGAAAGGTCTGTTGTGATGAGCTGGGAGAGGAGCACAGTTCAGTGTGGGCCACTCGGGCAAAAACTGGGCCTCAGTGAACCTGGAGCAGGCCTCAGGGGACTGAATTACTAGCAGTTGTGGCAGTTTCCAGACTTCTCAACCCACAAATGCCAAGGACAACTTAGAAGGTCAGTAGGAAAGTTCTTTTAGACCTGGGTGAGAAAGGAGCTCGTTCTGATCCAACAGTGGTGGCTACTTCTGGAGCTCTCAGCCCATTGATGAAGCAGGGATTGAGTGGCTGATCAGAGGGCGATTGCATGGATCTCTTTGCTAGTGCTGAGGCAGGATCCTCTTGCTTTGCTCATGCTTGGACCTGGGTTTTAGTCCTGGGTGGCAGTCCTGAGGCAAGGAGAAGTGCTGGAGTGGTGCAGCTTGTACTGGTGGTGAAAAGAGAATCCTTCTTACAGTACCAAGGCAGAAAAAAGTGCTTGTGGTCACTCATAGACCAGAGCACAGGCCAGCAAAGGAGTAAACATCTCTCCTTTGATCATACCACCTTGGAAAAATTGAAAACTTACAGGTCCCTGGAAGTATATCTGAAAACAGCTGCACAAAACCCCTGAAGCTTGGGACAGTATACCCTCCACAAAGGATAGCCCTACCTTAACAGAGTTAAAAAGTCAAATAATTGGCTGGGAACATGAGTAAACAGCAGAAAAAAAACTCAGACTATAGAATCTTACTTTGGTGACAAAGAAGATCAAAACATTCAACCAGAAGATAGTAAAGTCAAAGCTCCTACATCCAAAGCCTCTAAGAACAATATAATTGGTCATAGGCCATCTCAAAAAGGATTTTGAAAAGCAAGTAAGAGAAGTAGAAGAAAAATTGGGAAGAGAAATGAAAGTGATGTAAGAAAATCATGAAAAACTAGTCAACAGATTGCTAAAGGAGACCCAAAAAAATACTGAAGAAAATAACACCTTAAAAAATAGCCTAACCTAAATGATAAAAGAGGTCCAAAAAGTCAATGAGGAGAAGAATGCCTTCAAAAGCAGAATTGGCCTAATGGAAAAGGAAGTTCAAAAGCTCACTGAAGAAAATACTTCCTTAAAAATTAGCATGGAGCAAATGGAAGCTAGTGACTTTATGAGAAATCAAGAAATTGTAAAAAACAAACAAACCAACAAAAGAATGAAAAAATAGAAAACAATGCAAAATATCCCATTGGAAAAGCAACTAACCTAGAAAATAGATCCAAGAGAGACAATTTTAAAATTATTGGACTATCTGAAAACCATAATCAAAAAAAGAGCCTAGATATCATCTTTCAACAAATTATCAAGGAAAACTGCCCTGATATTCTAGAACCAGAGGGTAAAATAGAAATAGAAAGAATCTACTGATCACCTCCTGAAAGAGATCCCAAAAGGAAAACTCCCAGGCATATTATAGCCAAATTCCAGAGTTTCCAGGTCCAGGAGAAAATATTGCAAGCAGCCAGAAAGAAATAATTCAAGTACTGTGGAAACACAATTAGGATAACACAAGATTTAGCAGCTTCTGCATTAAGGGATCAGAGGGCTTGGAATATAATATTCCGGAGAGCAAAGAAGCTAGGATTACAACCAAGAATCATCTACCCAGTAAAACTGAGTATAATCCTTCAGGGGGAAAAATGGACATTCAATGAAATGGAGGACATTCAAACACTCTTGATAAAAAGACCAGAGATGAATAGAAAATTTGACTTTTAAATATAAGACACAAGAGAAGCATGAAAAGGTAAACAGGAAAGAGAAATCATGAAGGACTTATTAAAGTTGAAGTGTTTACATTCCTACATGGAAAGATAATATTTGTAACTCAGGGTGAGACCTTTCTCAGTATTAGGATAGTTGGACGGAATGTGTGTGTCTGTGTCTGTGTCTGTGTGTATATGTATGTATGTGTGTATGTATGTATACACATGCACAGAAGGCACAGGGTGAGTTGAATATGAAGGGATGATATCTAAAAAATAAAATTGAGGAGGGAGAGAGAATTATTCTGGGAGAAGGAGAAAAGGAGAGGTAGAATAGGGCAAATTATTTCACATAAAAGAGACAAGAAAAAGCTTTTACAGTGGAGGGGAAGAGGGGGGAGGTGAGAGGGAATGAGTATTTGGATTCGATTCAAGGAGGGAATAACATACACACTCAATTGCATATGGAAATCTATCTTACCCTACAGGAAAATAGAAGGGAAGGGGATGAGGGAGGGGGTAATGATAGAAGGGAGGGCAGATTGGGGAAAGGGTTAATCAGAAGTAAACACTTTTGAGGAGGGACAGGGTCAAAGGAGAAAATAGAATTAATGGGGGGCAGGATAGGATGGAGGGAAATATGGTTAGTTTTTCACAACATGTCTATTATGGAAGTGTTTTGCATGACTATACATGTATAATCTATATTGAATTGCTTGCCTTCTTAATGAGCGTGGGTGGAGAGGAAGGAAGGGAGAGAATTTGGAACTCAAAGCTTTAAAAACAAATGTGAAAAATTGTTTTTATGTGCAACTGGGAAATAAGTTATAGAGGCAATGGGGAATAGGAATCCCGCCCTATAAGGAAATAGAAAGGGAAAGGGATAAGAGAAGGGGGGGGGGTGATAGAAGGGAGGGGAGATGAGGGAAAAGGGTATTCAGAATGCACACTGTCTTTGGTTGGGGGAGGGGAGATGTGGGGAGAAAATTTGGAACTCAAAATCTTGTAGAAGTAAATGTTAAAAACTAAAAATAAATTAATTTTCAAAAACTAATCATAGTACTAACTTAAAAGTATAAGAAAGCCAAAAAGAAAAGTAATAGAAAAGAAATTAATTGAGTAAAAACTAAGTCTAACAATTGTTAAATAACCTTAAATGTGAATAGATTAAATAATCCAATAAGAAAATGACAAAATGAATAAGAAAAAAATGCCAACCTTTGCAGCATATGAGAAACACATGAAAAAATAAAGACACATAAAGAATGAAAATGAGTGGTCAAAACAAAATTTATTATGTGTTAGGTGAATCCAAAAAAGCACCAGCTACAGTCATGGTATAAGATTAATCAAAAATAAAATTCATAATAATAGGGAAACTACATTATGTTTTAAGTATAGACAATATAGATGGGGCAGCACAGTGGACAGAATTCTGGAGCCGTAATCAGAAAGACTCATCTTCCTCATTTCAAATCTGGCCTCAGACACTTACCAGCTGTGTGACCCTGGGTAAGTCACTTAACCCTGTTTGTCTCAGTTCTCCCATCTGTAAAATGAACTGGAAAAAAAATTGGCAAACCAGTCCAGTATCTTTGCCAAAAAAAACCCAAATGAGGTTACAAAGAGTTGGACACAACCGAAATGATCAAATAACAACAGACAATGTAATATTTAATAAATATGCACCAACTGGCATAACATCTAAATTCATAGAAGAAAAGTTAGCTGAATTGTAAAAAAGATATGAATAGTAGTTGTTTGTCTTTCATTTTCTTTTTGCTTGTTTGCTTTTTGCTAGGCAATAGGGTTAAGTGACTTGCCCAAGGTCACACAGCTAGTGAGTACCATGTGTTTGAGGCCAGATTTGAACTCAGGTCCTCCTGACTCCAGGGCTGGTGCTCTATCCACTGTGCCACCTAGCTGCCCATGTCCTTCATTTTCTGAGAAGACCAATGATATCATAGATGATGTCTTGACTTGTGCATGAATTAGCCTCATTCTTACTTCCAGAGTCTTCCAAGTCCAGTAGCAGGACAAAAATCAAGGCAACTGGTGATGACTCAGGATGCAGTGGATGAGTCTTCAATGTCTAACCAAAGCTCTAAGCATGCCACAGCACATGCTTCAGCTGCCTCAGTGGCTATTGGAGCAAGCTGTTCTCATCTGCCCATTCTACCAGGGGAAGTCTTCACATGCTTGGGGTAGACATACTCCTAACTCCTTGGTGGCTGTGAGGACTGTTGGTTACCTTCAACTTGGTTTACTCCATCTGCCGAGACAGTTTTACTGGTGTGTGGCCATTGTGCATGTTATGGCTTATTAGAGCCACAGGTGAGAGCAGGGTGACAGGTGGACACCAAAAGTGGATGAGCAGCCCTGAAAAGGGCTATACACCCCTATAGACAGTAACACAATAATTGTAGGAGATTTTAATGTCTCTTTATCTGAGCTGGAGAGACCTAAAAAAGATCAACAAAAGACAAATTATAGAATAAAACAAACTATTGGAGAGTTTAAAGCTAAAAAAACCAATGGGATCTTCAGAATGGAAATATAAAAGAATATACATATTTCTCAACAGCATATGCTATCTTTACTAAAATATACCATGTGATAAGAGTACAGAATAATTATATATAAATCTTAAAAAGAAGAAATTTTGAATTTATTCAATTAATATCTAAAACAAATATCTAACCATCAATAGGGAACTAGACATACTAGGCATATATAGGCATACGCAACACCCATTCCTCCAACAGAGTAAAGAAAGCTTTTTGCTTGTGACCATAGTTAACTATTTTATTTTGTTTTTATTTTATTTTATTTTAATTTTCAGAGCTAATTGTGGTTGTGATAACCTGTGTGAGCTTTTCGGTATTTTCAGGATTAATGGTGGTTGCATAAACTCTGTAACTTTTTGGTCATTTGCTTTCAAAGTTGACAAAGGGATAGCTTACTTATTAGAGGAGGGGTAGGAATATGTTTAGAAATGAAATCTCAGTAAAAATTTGTAAATTATATAGTTTTTTATTTTTCTATGTAAGAATTGTATCCCTTTAATAGAATATAAGCTTCTCAAGAGCAAAGATTGTTCCCTTTTTGTCTTCTATATCCTCAGTACCTACCATAGTGCTTTATACATAGCTAGCACTTAATAAATACTTGTCAAATTGAATCAAATGATTTTGTGATGGAGACCTCACATTACAGGATTTTTATTTCCCAGTTCTGTCCTGGTGATTTAAAGATGGGCCAAAAGTACCAGGGCAGGTTAGGTGGCACAGTGGAGAGAGCACCACATCTGGAGTCAGGAAGACCTGAATTCAAATCCTGTCTCAGACACTTATTAGCTATGTGATCCTGGGCAAGTCACTTAACCCTGTTTGCCTCAGTTTCCTCATCTGCAAATGAGCTGGAGAAGGAAATGGCAAACCATTCCAGTATCTTTGCCAAGAAAACCTAAATAGGGTCACAAAGAGTCAGACATGACTGAAATGAAACAACAACAAAAATATTAACCTTCAAATAATATTAAATCCATCCTGATATTTAACTAGAAGGCTACTTGACAAAGGGCAAAAACTAGTTTGTTGCTTAGGTTCATAATAGAACTAGTAGGAACCTTTGAGAGCATCTAGTAAAGAGGTCTAGACAGGCCAAGTAAATTACACAAGATTACACAGTTTGTAAGTAGCAGAACCACAATTCAAATTTAAACCTTCTAACTAAATGGAGAGTTCTTTATATTGTGGCTCAAGTGAGATCACATACAATATACATGAGTGTATGTTCATCTATTTTTTGCTAGCATAAGGAACTCCTGATGAGGAAACGCCCTATACTTGCAAATAAGCAACTGTTCTGAAATTTATCTGAGAACGTTCCCTGGAGCAATGGTCATTAGAGGACTTGAACCTTGGTTTTCCTGATTCTGACGCCAGCTATGCCACACTGCCCCCACCCCTCCCCTCTCTCTCACACACACATACACACTCTCTCTCTCTCTCTCTCTCCCTCCCTCGCTCTCTCTCCCTCTCTTTCTCTCTCATACACACACACTCTCTCTATATATATAAAACACATATTACAAGTGATTGTATATGTGTGTGTGTGTGTGTGTACGTGTGTGTCTGTGTAAAATACATCATTTTGAAAACTATTACCATGAAATTAACAATATATATAACAATATATAACTAAATATACTAACTGAAAAATCCAGGTGGAGGTGGGGGGATGGTATTGGATTCCCGAAGCTACCCTAATGGAAAGTTTTAAAATTCACTTAGTTTAGTAAGCAGCTCTCTCCCAAAGAGGAGGCTGGAAACAATAGCAGTAAACTGGTATGTGTGAAGGAATTAGCCACTCCTTCCTCAGTCTGTCAAACAAACCACTTTCTCCTTCAGACTTGACCGCCCTGAGGTCTTTTCCTGCCAGAGGAATCAAATTTTCCCAACAGTAACGCTTTTTCTGCTATTTGACTATCTAGGTTTTGATGCCCTTTTATGGTTGTTTTGACTTGGGTCCTCATGTATCATTGCTCTTGTTACATTCGAACCTTATGTAACAAACAGGCTCAGAATCTTCCAAGAGAAGCTCCTTCTAAAAAGTACAAAACTCAGACCTGGAAGAAACTTAAAAGGTTATTGACAAACCTTTACAAAGAGTATTTTTCAAAGGTCATTAGACCCTCAACATTGTCTTTGCCACATTTACTGCTACCTCCCCCACTGTTCCCCATAATACCTATTTCTGGTAGGAAACAAAGATTTCCCCAGGAAACCACATTAAGAGGAACTCAAGAAAAGAGGCCCCACTGAAATAAATTTCTAATGTAGCCCATGCTGACTTTTTGATACTACCCCTGGTTGTATGAACTTGAACTCATTTATTTTTCTTTTTCCTCTCTTTTTCTTTCTTTCTTCTTTCTTTCTTTTTCTTTCTTTCTTTCTTTCCTTCCTTTCTTTCTTTTCTTTCTTTCTTCTTTCTTTCTTTCTTTCTTTCTTTCTTTCTTTCTTTCTTTCTTTCTTTCTTTCTTTCTTTCTTTCTTTCTTTCTTTCTTTCTTTTTTTTGCCTGCTAACCTCTATCCCTTTGTCTCCTGCAGGATCCCACTTAATTAGCCCTAGATGGATAAGAATTTATCATACTAATAAAGACCTCTAGAAAAAGGAATATTCGTGTAGCACATTACAGAGTTGCAGGCTTTCTAAGACCCAAAGATGCGACAATCAACTCCCAAAATAGTGTCCAAAAGAGTGTAAAAAGCATCTCATTCACAGTAAGACCCAAGACTTAAAATGATATAACCCAGGACATAAGGAAATGGACAAAGAAAGATGGCTTCAAGACAACGACTATATCCAAGTCTGAATTAACAGAAGGAAGGGGTAAAATTGCTCCTTGGTTTTTGTAGTGGGATGATGGGGAGAAGTCACCAAGGCCTCAGTTGGGATAATGGTCAGGACACAGCAAGAGAAGAAAGGTCCTGCCAGAAGCTTCTCAGGGACTTGGCTTTCTCAAGCTATTATTTTCATATATTCATTATCTATGAATTTATGTGGTAGGTAACTGCTGCCAAAATGTATTTACCATGGTGCAGAAAGTATAGAGGTTAAAAAATTAGGTTTTATTACTATGCACCAGAATAGGTTCAGGCCTCAGAGAAAATAATAAATCTGAACCATCAGGATTCTAACAAGTCCTCTTATAAGCAAAATTACCAAAGTGATAGAGAAATAATTCTTTTACACATTGCAATCTTGTACCTTCCTTTCGGGTCATATAAGTTAAAGAAAAGACAGATTCATGACAGTATCTTTCCTTCAGTGTCATAAAAGTTGAAAAAAATGTAGTTAAGCAGAATCATAATCTTGTACATCCTCTAAGGAAACAAACTTTATCAAACAAATTCTATATGTAACTTAAGTCAGGTTACAGATTAAGCCACATTTAGAGGTTCCACGAATAAGCTAAAAGGATGGAATATTTATGTGTTGCCAAAGAGTCACAGAGAGTTGAGATTCTTATTCAGGCTTATCTAAGGAATGTTTAAATAAATTTTTATATCCCATGGGACAGGTTTTGATCAGGTGAGGTTACTATTAGAAGACAGGCTTTGAGTTAACTAAAAATTGCAGGCTAGATAAAAGGCAAAAATTTCATTTACACTATCATCGCTCCTAGTGATATGTGGGAAAATCGATTCATTCAACAGTGTGCCCTCCACACCATGGCAGCATCCTGACTCAGGTAATGCACTTATGTCTGGGAGCCATTAGAGGGTGAGAAGAGGTTCTTGCTCAAAAGTATCTGATCGGTTTTACATCATTTATGTCACATAAAAGGGATGACCAACCTGAGCAAACGGACAAACAGATAGATGATAGATAGGTAAATAAATAAATATAGATAAATAAACAAACAAACAAATAAATAAATAAATAAAGAGCTATGAAGTCTCTGAGGGCAGGAACTTTATCTCATCTGAAATGTTTTTCTTCTCTAGACATTTAATCACTATTGAATTGAATTGTTGAATTGAATGATTCCTCAGAATTCATATCAGCAACCAAGAGAATATAAGCTCCTTGAAGGAAGAGATTTTCATTTTTTTGCCTTGGTATCTTACTCTCCCTCTGCTCCCAGCACAGTGTCTGGCACGCAGTAGATATTTAATAAATATTTGTTGAATTGAATTGCATTACACTGAATTGAGCTGAATTAAATTTCCAGCCACAGACTTTCACAAGAGCTATAACTACTTACTTCATCTAAAGAGTCTTCTTGTATAATTTTTTTATTCTAAAGAAGCCTGGCATCAGAATTTATGCCAATAGTGGGCTTTCTTTTTCTTTTTTTAAATACTGTAACTCCTTTAGAAAAGCATTACCTTTTAGTTAGACTTTTTTTCCTAGCATAGCGTAATAAGGGCCCAATATCAGTCCAGGATCTGGGACTAGAGATTAACCTTGGGAGGTGACTCTTTCTAATTGACTTCAGCCCTAGGACTTAGGACTTAGTTACATACATGTTCAGCTGCATTTGTGAAATATGTTCCCTGTTTGTTCTTTTACTAACTTTGCCAGGAAATCAGAGCTTTCCATTTCCTGTACACTATGGATCCTGTGTTCTTTTGTATTCCCCCAAATAGGAAGTCCTCCTCTAACCCTTTTGCCAAATACATGATTTCATTTTAAAAGCCTGAGATTAATGGGCAGGAAGTGTTATTACAGAAATGAGCTGACAGGCCAATAAGTGATACAAATGGCCTGAAAGTAAAGACCATTATTTATGGACCTTATGGGTCATTCAGCTTTATCTAAGGAATGATTGCTAAGAGTTCTAATTATTTTCATTCTGGTCTTCTAACTCCCACACTTTGCCACACTTTTAGCTCTCACTGTTATAGTGAGAACCAAACTTATCTCTCCTCCTGAATACTCTCTCTTCTTCTGG